TCTAGGGTTTTGGAAAACAGTAGGGTTTTTAGAAGGTTGAAATTTGTTAAAGCATTGGTGATTGATGAAATTTGTATGGTGGATGGAGAGTCTTTTATAATAGCTTGAGTACATTGCTAGAAGGCTAGAATTGTTAGGGAAATAGATGATCCGTGGGGCGGTATTCAGTTGTTCATAAGCGGTGATTTCTTGCAGCTGCCACTGGTGAATGTTGGTAAGGTTTTTCAATGATCAAAAGGAATTTGCTTTCGAAGCAGATTTGTAGGATCGATCTTTTGAATTGCAAGTGGTTCTGGAAAAAGTTTCAGGCAATCAGACCCTGAACTTATTAGGCTGCTTTAATTTAGGGTATAAGTAGAGGGAATTTATATGCTGAAGGTATTGAGTAGCTTATGCAATGTTGTTTCTCTGAAGAGCCTCATGAGACAGTTGTGCGATTATTTCCAAGAATAGCATATGTTAATTGAGTAATGCGTAAGAATTGGGAGAAGAAACTATTGCTTTTGAAGCATTTGATAAAGAAGAGAAACCTTGGATTGATCAATTGGATTGCGGAATAGCACCCAAGACACTTGAGCTTTGTAAAGGGTCGGGGATGCCCCAATTTCCCATAGTGAGAAACAATGAGAAACAAAATTTTGTTTCTCACATAACATTTTTGTAAATAAACCATCTTTATTCAACTTTATTCAATTGTAGAGCCCACAATAATGAAAAAGTTGTTGATTTATTCACGAAAATGCCCCATGTTCTCAATATGAAAAATAGGGAAATTTCTCTTTGTAAAGGTGCTAGGGTGATGATTACAATGAACATATATGTGAATAACAAGTTGGTGAATGGTGCTATTAGTACAATTTCATTGTGAAATAGTGAAATTCAATTTTGGATGTGAAATGGGATGTAATGGTTGGAGATAAGAAAAGTGCTACACGGTTGTAGTTGCCCTTTGCGTTGGCATGGGTGACGAGTGTTCATAAATCTAGCGGTATAACTGTGGACAGACTTCACACTCACTGGTGGGGGATTCGAGAGCTTCTTCACTATAATGGAGAAAGAACGAGAGAATAATACAAGGAGTCCTAGATCTAATGGCTCAAAAGGTATGATATAATTGATCCACTAAAAAGTCCTTATAAGATTATAAGATTGTTCCCCAAGTATACTCAAATAGCCGTAATAGAAAAGACATAATTTTAATCATCCCTAAAATAATTAAGCTAAAACTGGACGCAAAAACTGAAATTTTGACTAGGCACGGGCGTGCCTCTTTTACGCACGGACGTGCCTGGTCGCGTACTTTGTCAGCATATTTTCAGCAGCGTCAGTTTTTCGTAAAACGGCTATAAGTTTCTCGTTTCTTATCGCAATTGGACATATGACCTGTCGTTGAAAAGCTTTTGAACCAAGCTATCACCTCTAACTTGAATCATCTCAAAATCACTTGTAGTTTGAGAGATATATGCGTTCAAAGTCAGCCCTACTAGATTTTGAGTCACAATTTAACTGTATTTTTATGCACCCATAGTAAGAAATTAATGATGCAACTGTTGCTGAAGACTGATGTAAATATCGGATTTGAGAAAGGTTTATAGTGCGTTATAATTTTTTTGTGGTTAAATTCAGATGTAAATTTCTTCCTTGATCGTAGTATTTGTCTAAAATGTGAAGTATGCCAGTATCAGCATTCGCTAATTGTTAGACACAAGATCGAAAGCGAACTTAGAAAATTCAGTCCGAGAAATCACATAACTATCAACCACTATAGTAACAATGGAGAGAGTGAGGGATAACTCAATTGGTTAAAGTCCCTCCCGGTTCCAAGAGATTTTGGGATCGATTCTCAACCCCGTTCTTGTGGCTCTCTAAACAAAAAAAAAAAAATTATAGTAACAATGGCAATTATAAGAAGAAGCACCTTACCCTATTAATTTCACTTTTCTATGTTGTGCCCCTCTATGTAGCACTTTTCTCTTTGTTAAAAAGCCAGTAGTCGCCCTTTTTAGGCCCTGTTTTGTTCACCTTATTTCCACTTATGTTTAGGGTTAATAAGTTCAGATAAGTTGTGATAAGGGTTAATCAGGGCTACCAAGTTTCATTTATAACGAAAATAAGTTCTAATAAGGGCTAATAAATTCAGATTAGTTCAGATAAGATCAGATTAGTTCATAAAAGTAAAAATAAGGTGAATTGAACACACCCTTAGTCACTTTTCTTGTAGTGTATATTCATTTATATTAAAACAACTAATATTAATATATGGGGAAGATATATGAAATTATTATATTTTGAGTATATATGCAACATTTATATATACTAGTTGTACCCCGGGCGATGCCTCAAGTTATCTCCGCATTATATATCTATATATTTTAAAAATCCTTACATTAACTGGGCAAATTGGCTTATAATACAAATTCTCCTAAAGACGGGTGTATGTTAACTTATTATGAGACATGTTAAAATTATGTTAAAAGTATTTAATAGTTATACTTATTTATACATATCAAAGATTTTTGTTGACATAGTATCATGCATGTCACACTAAATCACTAATTCTTATTTGATATCTTCATGAGTCATGACTTGTCACTTGGCGAACTTTTGATATCGATATGCCAACTTTTGATATCAATTTTTTTTTATTAAATTAGTCTCATTGTGTAATACATTGTTTCAATTTATATTTTAAAATATCAATTTTTTATGATTATATATACGATCTTGCTAACGAGCGCCTCGGGGCGTTAGATAAAGATAAATTATATTGGTTGGAATGGTATTAAGTTAGGAATTCATGACACAATCACGTATCGTTCGGTGTAATTAATGTTAATTTTACTCTAACATTTGCATTTTAATTCTCTTATCTAATGCCCCGGGGACGCTCATTAGCTTTTGCCTTATACTAATACATATACTCTCCTTTCATTTTTAAATTTCGACTCAACTTGTATTTGTACATACAATTTCCAATGCATATCCTTAACTATTAATATTTTTGACTATATATAAGTAGAAATTAAAAAAATAATAACGAAAAGTTACACTAATAAAGCGAATCTAATTAATAAATCTCATATGCTAAATTATACGGAGTATGTTTTATGTAACTTATAATGTTGTCAAAATTGTTTTATTTGGAGCATATAATGAGTAAATTCTTATTTCGCTTTTAATATGTATGTATTTTAGTATATATATTTATTAATTAATGCATGCTCACGTTAAACATCCTGTTGTAGTCCTTTATCAATCTAATAGTATATTACTCCGTATAAGATAAAAATACTAGATTAAGTAACTATCAACCTTTCCAAAATCCTAATTATTATATTATTGAATATTGATTGCATGTTAACGTTAAACATGCAGTAGTAGTCCATATCAAATTAATACGGAGTACTCCGTAGTAAATTAGTGATAAAGACAAAAGGAGTAAGTGAGCAACTTCAGGACCTTTTTTTTTTTTTTTTTTTTTTTTTTGGAAAGGAACTTCAGGACCTTAATTACTCACCAATAAGTCAATAACCCTTACGACTTTACATTCCCCAAAGCCAAAACATGTACTCCTCTGTCCCCAATTTTTTTGTATTTATTTTTTTTTATTTTTTATTTTTTATTTTTTATTTATCCCATTTGACTTTTCACGGTCTTTAAAATGCGTATTAAAACGTATATAACTTCATTTCTAAACACGTAAAAATTATATCTTAATAATCATAATAAGGGTTTTTTTTTGTCAAAAACTTCCTACTACAACCTAAAATTTGTGTGAAACTACCTAATAAAAAAATATTGTAAGAAACTACCTTATAAAAGGTAAAATGTTGTAAGGTATTACCATTGGCCGAATTTCCACCATTAATTTAATCTTAAGGCGTTGACCTACCTCAAAACACCCTCGAAACCACCACAAAGGTGGTAAGGTTATTTTTGGGGTGGTTAGAAGATATTCCGAGTTGGTTAGGGTAGTTTAATTTCGTGATTCGAGATGTTGATTTTTGGGGTTAGAGGTGGTGGTTTTGGGATTGGAGGGTGGTTTCGGCTTGAGAAGACGATTTTAAGTAGGTTGTGTTGGTTTTAGGTGAAAGCGGTGGTTTTGAGGTGGGTCAATGGTGGATTTCCGACGGAGGTTGCAATTTACAAAATTAACATTTTGTTAGATAGTTTCTTACAACATTTTACCTTTTATTGGGTAGTTTTTTACAACACTTTTTTTATTAGGTAGTTTCTCACAAAATCTGGGGTTTATTAGGTAGTTTTTAACAAAAAGTCCTAATGATAAAAACAAATCCAACAAGACCACACATGACTAAATAATCTCTTATAGATCAATGTGTATGATAAAATTTTGCGAAGTTTTGACTCAATAATATGTAATGGGATAGGGGCAAAACAATAGAGATAGAGAGAATATAAAAATCTGTTAATGTAATCAATGTATGATTTAACTAGAAAAATTCAATTTTATTTAGTGTAAACTTTTTTGTCATTTTATATTCATAAATTAACTTAAACTACATTTTTACAACACATTTGTAATTGCAAAATTATGTAATATATTGTTAAATTGAGTTAACTACACAAAAGGGCCCTATCTTTTTAGTTTTTTCACTGTTTAGATAGATATCAAGGTTTTTTTTCACCGTTTGGGTACTCAACCCAATTTCCGGGCGAAAATAAGTTAGATTACTCTAAAAAACTTAGTCACTTGGAAAAAAAAAAAAAAGAAAAAAAAAATAAGACCCTTATTTAACATTAATTTGTGAAGTACAGCTCATCATTTGCACATACGCAAAACAAAGGAAGTTGAAGAGCATAGAATTATATGGCATAGAAAAATACATCATAGGAAATAATCTGCTCATCATTGTAACTTGGTATATTATTTTAGTTTGTATTTACTTTTTTAATGGAGTTTTATAATGCTAATAACATTAATAATGCTCTCACTTGCTCCAATAATTGCTCTTAAAACTATGTATAAACATATCTCTTCCAATAATTGTTACTATCTTTAAAATATGATTTTTTATGAAATACTATTTCCATCAAACAAACAAAGTCTAAAAGAAAAACATAGTGAGTATTATTACGGAGTAGCTCCTCCACTATAAAAGGGCCTTCCTCCTCACCTCTTTTTCATCATCAAAAACACTTATTAAAAATAAAGAAAAGAAAAGAAAAGAAAGGAAGAATGGTTTCGAAGGTGATAAGTGTGTTAGTTTTGGTAGCAATAATGATGGTTGCTACAAATGCTGAACCCATGCAAAATACTGATTATCTCTCAGAAATCATAATCAAAGAAATTGTTGCTCATAATAATATTAACAATCCTCTCCATTGCATGAAGCAAGGGGAACCTTGTAAATTATTCAATCACTGTTGTACCGGTTTCTGCTTCCCTGGTCCTGCTATTGGAGTGTGCAGTTGATAAAAGGTATCTGCTTTCCTGTCCCTTTTGGAATGTGCGGTTAATGCCCAACTATCTATCTATCTGTTAATTGTGTGAGACTCGGATCTATCTCCGAGTCTCTAGCTCGTTATGTTATCAATACTATTATTATTTGCTACTCGTACTATATATGTAATGTGAATTATGGATTTAATTAGCTTCATCATTTATCTATGAGAAGCTTTATTATTTCCCTATCAATAAATAAAAATCAAGTGTATTGTTTGTTTCTTATTTTAGAAGCCCATTGTTTTTCCGTGGTGGTCAATGGTGGAGCTCCGGCATTGACTATCACGTGTTAGTCACGTGACTTTTTTTTTTAAAAACAAAAAAAATCCCCAAATTTCCCTCCTTTCCCGACCTAACTCTTTCATTGGTTAGGTGGGGAAAGGAGGGAAATTTGGGTTTTTTTTTTAAAAAAAAAAAAGTCACGTGACTAACGCGTGATAGTCAACGTCGGAGCTTCGGCATTGACCACCATGTAAGGTCGCAAGCTCACCCAAGTACCCCTTATAAACAAAATGCAACTTAAAAGGTCCTTTTTCACAAGTTTTAACTTAAAAGGTCATTTTTTAAAAAGTCGACCACTTAAAAGGTCCCTTTTCACAATTTTCTCTAAATTAAATTATTATTACTGCTTGGAATATTATTGCAAGGAAGACCTTTACTATCAAATCATATAACTAATATATAACAGAAGGTTTTGTGCGTGGCTGGCCACACGGCTAACACACGACAAAAGTAACCCCACCGACCTAGTATCCCCTCCGACCAAGTACCCCCTCCAACCTAGTAACCCCTAACTGACTCAGTAACCCCTAACTAAGTAATCTCTGACCGGACCTAGTAATCCCTGACCGGACCAAACCAAACCAAACCAAGTAACCCCTGACCGGATCTAGTACCCCTTGATCAAATCTAGTAACCCCTCGTTCACCAACAATTCATTTTCGTACCCTTTAACTTCTGAACTTATTAATCTAGTCTATAACTAAACTATGACAAGTGAACGTATCTACTATTTCACATCTACAATTTATTTCGAAGAAACCACCTTAATATAAAAAAAAGAAAAAGATAAACACTACTAGTAGTCAGTAATTGCAAAATTCAATCTGAATTTGCATTTAAAATACATGCAATTATGTGGATTGATGATTTGATGAATGCATAACTATTACAATAATCCCAAAAACAACAGTAAAATTCAACAAAATTGACAAAGACAAAGACGGCGACGATGGAGATGAAGACGACGGCAACATCAGAGAAATCAATAACAAATTGGAATAAAATTGATAAATTTGTACTTGTAACTATTGAAATTTGAGGGAAAGGTTAGGTTTGGAGCTTCGAGGAGATCTGAGTTGGTTTGGAGCTTCAACGACGAAGAAGACGAAGACGACGACGATGGAGTCGATGCTCCGACCATTGACGATTAGAGGGAGAAAGTTAGAGAGGAAAAAAATGAGAAGAGAGGAGAGGAAAGGGACAGAGGAGAGAGAAAATTAAAAATTTGTGATTGGCCACACGGTGTGGCCAACCACATATGAAAGTTCACTAGTAGAAAAATGTACATTTGCGCCGCCATATTTGCGTCACTCATTCTAAGGAGCGAAGCAAATGTTTATTTTTACCATCCTGTTAAGTTATTTGCGTCGCGTGTTATTCAAGAAGCGACGCAAAACTCAAGTGCATTTCAGCTTTCTCTCATTTGCGTCGCTCTTATTTATTAAAGCGACGCAATTAATAAACTTATTTGCGTCACTCATTTGTTAACAAGCGACGCAAATAAGTGATTAAGTAATTTGCGTCACGCTTTTACTACATGAGCGACGCATATGAGCTGTTTACAATATCATAAACAAGGTTATTTGCGTCGCTTTTTTATAATAAAGTGACGCAAATAACTCTTTTGGCTTTAGGTTTTCTGCGTTTTTTTACCTTAGTTTTTCATCACATACGCCTACATTCACTAAACAAAAAGAAAAAAAAACAAGAGTTCTTCAATTCCAGTGAATTGCTACAACAAAACACCCACAAATTCGTCTCTGAAATCCAACAAATTAGGCCAAAAAACTGCGATTCCCAGCAAATTTAACATCTAAATTAAAATTGCAGTCAAGTTGAAGCAAATCCGAGAAATTTCGAGCAAAAATTTAGACCAAAAACCCTAAGAAATTCGATTCCTTAAACCCAGAAAAATTGATTGTTTCCGACCAAAAATCCCCCATTTCGAGCAAAAATCAACTCAAAAGCATACGAATTCGAACCCAGAAACCCCAAAAAATTCCTTTTTTAAGATTCATCTGATTTGTGCTTTCTGGAATCCTGATTCGTGTTTTTCTTTGGCGTCCTAGAAATTTTGAGCGAAATTCTGACGGTAACTACAGTAATTCAACTGGAAAGTTCTGGATTTACAGGTATAAACTCAACTATTTCTGGAATTTTACCTGAATTTCTTAAATTGAGTTAAATTAATTAATTAGCTTTAAAACTTCAATGATGTTTTTTATATGTGTTTTTTTTAATATTGATTACTCGGTCTATGAAGTATTTTCTGGATTGTAATATTTTACTTGTTTGGGTAAGATTAATAAATATGGTGAATGAAGCCACATCCAATATACATTATAACACATTCTCTGTGGATAACATACATTCATGGAAATTCTTATATAAAGCATAGGACTACTATTGAGATTTTGTTAAAGAGCAAAGTTGCATATGAAGTGTTGTAGTGGTGCAGAAGATATATGAACAGAGAAGATAGAAAAACGCGATACGGGAGTGACAGTCAGACAGTCCATTCGTGATGCATAATTGCATTCTTATAGAAATGTGTATGGGTTCTGAAATTTGTGATCAGTGTTAATTATATTTCCCATATTTATGATAATGTTACACTCCAAATTACACCAAAAAAAAAATATTTTACTTGTTTTTTCAATGTGAATAATATTTAAAAGTAAGTGATATTTAATAAAATAAAATAAATAAATAAAAAATCTAGGTGAAGTCATTTAGAAGTAAAATTGAAGTTTCTGTCTATCTGAATTGACTGCTTTTTAGTTCTAGCATTTTTACATTTACTCCCTTTGTCCGGATGATCAGATTTGGTTGTCATGACTTATGAGCATATAGTCCAATTACGCTATCAACATGACTATTAATTTGGTGATTGGAGTCGGTGAGTATTGGATAATTGTTTTCTTTTTGTTCGCATCGGAGAAGTATGGAAAATCTCATGTGAAGTATGTTTGGGTTTATCTATGGCACCGATCTCGAATACTGCATAGGGAGACAATAGACGATTACGGAGTGATATTTCTTATGATTGATTTGGCTTCTTGTGCCGCGTTACGTGGCAACACATGATGTTTGTCAAACTAAGTACACCAGTCAAATATTTTGTTTACAATATACAGAAAACTTATGATCCATATTGAATTTCAGATTATTTTAAGTTGGACTATGATATCCAGATCATTTGGCGAATATGTTTGTTTATATATGTGTTTTTTGGGACTCGCTGATGCATGTCCAATGGTTTTATAAAATTTGAATTTTATAATATATATTGCGAGTTCACTTCAAGTTCAATTTTCTGTGGTGATACTATGAAATCTTGTTGCCTGACCATTGTAATTGTATTAGCTTTGCTGTGCTCTTGATTGAAAAGACAGATGAAGAAGGGCAATTACAAGTATTATTAGCTGCACTTGAGGTAAAATACTAAAATCCTCTGGTTCCTTTCAACTGCCCTTTGTATTAAGTTTCTGTCTTATGTGTTGATGCAATTAAAACTATAGCAATCTTATAATGCTTGCTCAGATTCAACTGTTCAATGGGATCATTTTGCATTTATGTTTGAGAATGTAGGAATATATTAATAAATTTTGATTGAATACAGTGGCCAACAATTACTAAATCTATTTGGAAAACTTAAAAGATAATTTAAAATCGAGGAGTATTTGCGATGCTAATGGATTGAGCTTACAAATTGTTTAAGTATAATAATGCAGAAGTGCTACTTTTATAGTTTTATTTGCTGGGTAAAAAGTTTGATTTATTCTCTGGTTGTAGATTGCTGAAGCAGAGAGTATTGATCTAGATTCAAAATTTCGTGCCCTGGTTGCTAATGGATCATTGCTATGTTGTCTTCTTATATCTGTTGTGTTATGAGAATGCCACAACCCACTGGGTAATGTCAAGAGATACTTTCAAGTATAAAGAGGTTGTTTTTAACTTTGATGGCAATAAAACATTAGCTTTGCAGCTGTTATAAGGTTGTTAATTCATTGGACTGAAAATTTCACATACTTTAGGCGACAAAAAGGTACTTCCCATCCGTTGGACCTAGCTAAGGTGACCTTCAATCAGTCATCAAGTTAAAAAAACTATAAATCAATATCCCATCCATTAAACAACCACCTTGTTCAACCCTAAATTAAAAAAAAAAAATTCAAAATAACAACTAGCATTTATTTCACATGGCAGATTAAGTTGGACCTAGCATTTAACACTCGTTTCAGGTCTTCAAGTTTTACACCATGATTGGCTAATAAGCAATGCCGAATAACAACTTTTATGTCACATGGTAGATTAAGTTGAATTAACTATGTTGGTTTAATATATGTAATTTTTTATGGCAGATTCTTAATTATGCGGAAGTGAATTCCACAAGTTGCTCGAGGTTCTGGTTGTGGACAAACGATTAAGGCGGTAGTACGCATATGAGATTGTCTTCACTTGTGGTATATATATCTGAACCATTCTTTGCAATATTAACCAATTTGTTCTAGTTAATTGGTATAATGATTGTGAATTGTATGAGATTTTTAATTGTGATATAATTGATTGGAATTGCAATAATACTTGCATCATTGGCTTAGATACCCGTTCAGGGCTTACTCATTAGGAGTAAGTCTTGAATAGTCCCCGGTTTCAAATGTGTAGTGCTTTTCGAAGTTTTAAGGCATTAAGTGGACAATCTAGGGGAAGTAAATTGACACGGCATTTGGGACAGGTTACCTTAATTTCTTACCCTAACTTTTAGTTTCTTAATAATTGAAGTATAGCAATTTAATTCAACTTACAAATATATTACATGTAGTGTCCTCAACAATTGGGTGGACGTGAGTGTGGCTACTACGTCATGCGTTATATGTACAAAATACTTGAACATTACCATAGCAGTGAAGATCTTATTCTGGTATGAGTTGTCAAATATTTCATTTTTGTTTGATAAATACAATTTGATGTTAGCTACAATCTTGAATTAAAACTTTCCTCTTGTATATTTGTTGTGTTGATAGGATTTTTCAAGAAGTACACCGTACACCGAGGAGGAGATAAATGAGATCCGAGATATTTGGGCAGAGTATTTTATATGTAATGTTGAACTTTAAATTTACCACTTAGCGCATGTTTGACTCTTGTTTTGGATTATAGGCTTGAAATGAAGTAATTTGGTTAATTGGTGTTGGGATGATGAGTATAATGTCTATGATATTGAGATGTAAATTATTGGACAGGTTGTTAATATAATGCCGTCATTCCCAATTTTATGGGTAGGCCAAATTACAAAGGAGACTCTGCCGAAATTTACATTTGCATTATTCAATAATATTGCATTTTAATTTCAATTATATTAGCGTTAGCATATTACTTTATACCTAGGAAAACAGGTACTACAAAAATATACAAGGCAATTATTATATTATAATTAAAAAAAAAATTCACCTCATTTGCGTCACTCATTAAACAAACAAGTGACGCAAATACAACAATTTTGTATTGTCTACTCAGTCATTTGCGTCACTCCTATATAAACAAGTGACGCAAATAACAAAACATAAGTTTATTGGAAGAGTTATTTGCGTCGCATGTTTATAAAGGAGCGACGCAAATAACGAAAAAGTTTATCTTAAGAGTCATTTGCGTCGCTTGTTAATAAATGAGCGACGCAAATAACTAAAAATATTTATCAGAAAAGTCATTTGCGTCGCTCTTTTATAAACAAGTGACACAAATAACAAAAAATAAGTTTATTTGAAGAGTTATTTGCGTCGCTTCTTTATAAAAGAGTGACGCAAATAACAAAAAATAAGTTTATCAGAAGAGTTATTTGCGTCGCTCCTTTATTAAAGAGTGACGCAAATAACAAAAAATAAGGTTATAAGAAGAGTCATTTGCGTCGCTTATTTATAAAGGAGCGACGCAAATGACAAAAAATAAGTTTATCAAAAAAGTCATTTGCGTCACTCGTTTATAAAGGAGCGACGCAAATGACTCTTATTTGCGTCGCGCCTAGGAGCGACGCAAATGACTTAAAAGTCATTTGCGTCGCGAGCAGTTGCGTCGCTCATAGATGCGACGCAAATACACTATAAATGAGCGACGCAAATAAGCCTTTTTCTACTAGTGGTTGATGAATATAAAAGCTAAACTTTTAGCCAGACCACGAGACAGCGACACTTGACGTTCCAACTTTTTTCCAAGTGTTGCGTCACGTTGAATAGATTTATATAAACTTCAATATGTAGGATTAAAAAATTTAGTTTAGAATTCTATTTTCAATAAAATTTGGATAGAATTTTAAAATAAATTTGTTAGTTTAGAGTTTTATTTTCAATAAAATACTAATATTTCATATGTACAAACTGAATTATAATTTTATCCAAAAAATAATTAGATTATAACTCTCAATAGGCTTAGAACAATTTTTTTTATTTAATTTATTTTTGCTGCTTTTTAGGATTTTTAAATATTTCATGCTTGTTATGAAATATTTGTGGATATCCATTATCCTCCTTTGTATCATTCCGGAACAATCTAGATCTAGGGTTTATATTCTTATCCATTCAAACCCTAATATATTGTATTTATATATACCCCATTATATGGAATAGAAATACACTGATATATTCTCTATCAATCTCTCTTATATTTCTCTCTATTTTATAATACGTTATCAGCACCATATGTGTAAGTCATATGTAATTATGACTCTTATAAAGATATAATTTGATAATACCTTTTATTTCTTTAGTATATACTACCAAAAAGATTAATATGATATAATAACTTGATATAATTAATTAATGTCTACACTCCTCAAAATACTGTAGCTAAAATATGGAGCTGTTTTTGAAGTGATCAATTTGCAAATTATATCTTCTGCACTAGTAAAGGTATGTCCAATATAATTACGGATTTAATAGTAATGCCAAATAATTATTTCCTATAATTTATAATAAATTTGAGTTTGATAAATGATAACATATATTGCTTTAAAGTGCTAAATGGTACGACTCTCAATTTATTGTACCTTATTGTATTAATGCATTATTTGTATTGTGTATGGTATGCATACATACATTTTTTTTTATTGTGTCAAATCTCGATTAACTTGACATTGAAAGCGAATTTAGAATTATGAATCAATGTTAATTTTGTTTACTTATGTTTTCAAAGATTAGTGTTAATTTGGCTAGTATAGTTGAGTGGATCGAATAAGGTATGTTTTGATTAAAGCTCGAACTGATTATGTCATGTCTTATTTTTACCTTCCCTTTCTGAAAAATGTAGATGGGTTGGTATATATTCTCGTACATATGGACTTGAAGTTCCTTAATTAATTAAATATATAGAAAAAAGTGTGTTATGAGTTCAAGTAATTAAACATGACATTGTGAGAAACTATACATAATCAACGTTTTATTATGCCCATAAATATAAGAGGTTTTGTTTTTTTTTTAAGATGAATGTAATTGGGCATGAGAAACATGATAAGTGTTCTATAAGTATAATTTTATATAAGCATGTTTTTGCTAAAAGGAACATGTTACTTGATACATGACATTGCCAAATTAATTTATGGCTTAAAAGTTGCAAGGATTTTAAAAGGTTGTTGGATTGATTCATTCCATACCCCCCTTATGCAAGGATTAGGGGGAGATTGTATGTAACCCTTGCATATAAATAATAAAATATATTGATGGTCAGTTTGATACATACAATAACTTAAATATCAACGATTTATTTAATAAAAGTGACCACATGTTCATTAAATATTTTGAAATGATACCATCTTGAAGATGGATATAAACAAATGACATTTATCATATACTAGTTGTAAATGCTCTAATTTAAAATTGATGTCCTAAGAGTACAACATCAGCGTGATAAATCAATAGGTTCTAAAGATAATTAAGTATCTTTGAAAAGGAAAGGGGTCACTATTGACAATGACAAATTTGAGGAAGTGGTAAATATCATTACATTTCTAGAAGAAATCACTTTTAGTAAAGTTCATATGTTTCAAGAGTATGAAATATCTAACAAGATTAACATGTATCAAGTTTATAGTTTAAACTCCAGTAGAGTATGAGTAATTATTGGATAAAATATTAATTGATTGTCTTTCCAATTGTATAAAGAAACACATGTTTGTGTTCTAAAATCACATCACATTCATGGCCATGCATATAGTAAGTTTAATAAAGTGATCACTAGTGTTGAAAACTGACTAGAGTTCAAATTTAGAGAAGTGATTGGATGTGATAATTAAATTAGGCCATCCGGGTTTAATAATAATTACCCGTAATGAAAACCTGAAGTTTCTTTTGATAATGTGCTGACGCTTTCTCAATGTTAAATATATAAAATGAATTGAATGGCAAGTCGTAATATTGAGATTGAGTTATATTTGGATTGTAAGTTATAATAATTTGTATTGATGAAAATTTTAAGATTTAATATATTTTGATTTTTTTTTATATATAAAGGAGTAATGGCTGATAAAGGAGTAATGGCTGACCAGAAGTTCACCAAAATAACTTATATATTATTGTCAACTATCAAGTGTTCAGAAGCTCACCAAATACACTATTTAAGTCTTTAACGATCCAGAAGATCATCACCTACTAGAATTACGAGCAAGTGTTTTATGCTTGTATAACAATTATTTTGATTGGGGCTATTATATGTCAGCACATATTAAATTGGAGAAGAAAGAAAAACGTACAACTGCACAACATATGTCTCCCCATTGACATTGATCTCCAGAAGAGAAAATATTATTGAAAATTTAATAATAAATACACATGAAATATAAAGTTAATGAATAAATGATTCTTCATCGAAATTGTTCTCCAGAAGAGATAAATTTTGATTGTGATCCTCCCAATGAAATGAATTTTAATGCAAATTTATATACTAAGTTGGTATAAAATTAGACGCCCCTATAAAAGAGATATATTACCAACTTAAGGGGAGAAGAAATAGAAAAAGTTGGGAAAATCAAAATAAATAAATAAATAAATAAAGAATATATATGATCCCTATAATGGTAGTTTGAAAAGTTATATATATGCCAACTTTTGTACATATATTATCAAGATATGTTGCACATTTATGATTTGATTTGTATTCAGTTATGACTCATGTTGCATAGCGTTGAAGATACATTTTGGTCATATTAATTATGTATATACATTGAGATAAAATCTTGCCAATTGTACTTGAATCACTACTTCTGAAGTGTAGGTTGTATATGATCGGTTCCAAAATAAAGATATGTTTAATATATATGATATTTGGCAAGATAGTGCAGTTGACACTAATAGTGTAATAGTATATAAATACCATAGTGTATGAAATACCCTAAAAGTGGTATAAATATCTGAATTATTATAATAGATGGCCTATAATGTAAGAAAAATTATACCCACTAAATACAATAAAGGAAAACTATTATTATAATAGATGGACTCCATGTTGTTTGTGCAAATAGTTTTTGTTGTTGATGTCATATTTAATGTTAAAAATGTGATGCAGATATGTTATTTCGATCGACTCCAAAAGCATACGTCGTTTATGCCTAGAGAATTCCCATTAGTGAAAGAGTGGAGACAAGATGTCGTCAAGAAACGCATTGTTGAAGAATTAGGGCTTGGGTTTGGGCTTGGCAAAGTGTTGGACAGAATTCCGAGACCAGATGTCGTGGACATCCCAATACCACAGGATCTTATTGGAGTTCAAGCCGTCGAGGGAGGTGTTTTGCATGAAGAGCAACAACTACAAAGTGGAGAAGAGGAAGACCAAGCACAACGATAATCTGGAGAAGAGGAAGAACGAGCACAACAACAATCCCAACAACAAGCCCAACAGCAACAACATCCAGGAGATAAACAGCATCAACAACAAGATCAACAGCAACAACCTAAACAGCAAAATGTCCCATCAAATCATCAAGTATATGTTCCTTTTAATTTAAATCTTTGTTCTTTTTATAGATTGTGAATGGCCCATATCAGAATACTTGTTTACATTTCAGGAATATAATGAAATGCTCCGAGAGGCAACAGAGAGGATAGCCAATGATTTTCTCAACCTATCCAATCTGTTGAGAGTAGGTGAGAGGTTCCATACAACTCCATTAGTTGAGGAGACCATAATCTACAATGTTACAGCCATGTGGTCTAAGTGTGCCGGTGCAAAATTGCCTTCTGAATTGCAATAATTCACACAAAATCAACGTGTGGAAGGAGCTTCAATTTTGAGTCAGGACACTGACTTGTTCGCTTCAGATTGGTTTGGGAATATAATTGACGATGTTGTCAAGACCGTGGTGATGAGTGAC